CGAATGGTCTGGTTTTTATGGGCCGGCAATACTTCTGAGAAGACTTATAGTTGAATCTCTGTTCCATCGTGCTAGCTCCGTCGTGCTAGCTTCACACTGATGAACATGACAGAAAAGAGCATCTAAAAGAAGATTTTATGTGTATAATTTATTTCTTTGTGAATAATCTAGATTAATTGAATTATTTTTATTTGTTTTTACGAACCGTCCTTTTATTACACTATTGTTCCTGTTTCACAGAGATGATTCATACTTGTTTTTTATAATTTTCATGATCACTGTTAGGGCGAAGTTCAAGAAGAGTAGTCATAGCAATGGCCGCTGTAGCAACCACCAAAAGAACTGCAATAGCCATCAGTATAACTACAGTAGCAGCGGTCGGCGATGCCACACCGGTTGCCGCAGAAACAATGGTAGCAGTGTGCTATTGGATAAATAGCTGGTTGCTCCATAACTAAACAATAAATCGTAATGAGTTTGAGCTTATATTACGAAATTTTTGTTCAAAAAGTATGACAGCTTAAAAGGATCAGTTCTGAATTCTCTTGACGATACCAGTGTGAATGAAAACAAAAGAGAAACCTCATATCTACACCGTGAAACTACTCACATTCATATTCGTTGTCAACTGGATATATCATAATATCAGTGGCATAGCATTTATTTTGAGCTCTTCCTGAAAGGCATCGGATTTTGCTGAAAATTGGATGAAGCTGTCGTATAATTAATTCATGTGCTTCATTGTCATTAGTATAACAATAAAACTCACAATCGAAATGTTGTAGACGAGGAACAAGGATAGATAGAAATTCGGCCATTTTCTCAAAATGTTTGAGTACATCATTACCCCTGATTTTTCCTCGGATACGCAGTCGAGTGAGATTCGGTGTCCATTTAAGGAACTTCTCCAGATCATGTAAAGGATCGTTGAGAGTAATTTTTAAATATGTGATCAATAGATGAGGTTGAACATAGTGTATCATTGAATCATATGATTTCCCAAAATTTGTTTCAAATCGGCGTAAATTAGGCAGCTGATGTAGAAGCCAATCTAGTTGGGACCAATGCCATGTGTCTATAGCAAGAGAACGAAGTGCATTGTTTGGCAATGATTTACTATCGTTGTTTTCCAAATTGTAATGATGTCTCGATTTTATTTGGCATGTTTTGAGTGATGGGAAATGTTCCCCCCGAGAAATAACATCCAGTAAAGGTGTTCGTAGATCATACGTTACATTTTCAATTGAGAGCCATTCCAAGCGAAGTAGTCTGATTTTCGTTATCTAAATGAGTCGAATTACAATCAAGTATTTTAATTATAGCTCGTTAAAATACACAAGCTACCTGATCTAGTTGCTCGTTTGAAAGATAGGTACAATCAAGTGTAAACGAACGTAGTTCAGTCATCACGTTCAATTTCAATGGCAAACAGTAGTTACGTATTTCCAAACGGACTATTTGTGTTGGAGTAAAAATCGATAAATAATTGAATTCATCTTTTTCTTGACATCGAACAACGATATTCACTTTCAAAGCTTGAATAATGCAATTTATTCGTTTGTTCAGACCCTCGAAACTACGAAGGTCAATGGGATTCACGTATTGAAAAATTTCAAGCAAGAGTTCATTAGGAGTTCCTTCAAGTTGGAATAGATTTGACGATAAACTGTCGCTCATGGTATCAAATTCGTTCTTGCAATGATCACCTAACATTGAGCAATATCACTTCTTATGAGTATGAGCTTATGCCACTTTTTGAAAATTGCTAAAAAAAGAAATACTACACTATAGGAAATACGTAATTATATATTGACTCATATTTTCTTTCTGCACAAAAAAAGTTGCAACTAGCATGCACCCGATGCATACATACCAGCTTTCCACTAAACACAACAAGTAAAAACTACGTATATGTGTCAGACAGAATTGAGTTCTAGACAAAGTTAAACCATACTTTTCTAAATTCCAATTTAATATAGCATCCAATGAAAAAATTAAAAAACTGTCTACGATAAATAGAGTTTCTAAGACACAAAGTGAATTAAAACTTAAAAATATAAGTTTTAATAGTTGACTGGGTATCAGCAAGATAATCGTCTATGTTTGAAGAGGATGTACAGTTAGGTAACTTTGCGTAATGAGAACGATATCTTGTTTCGGAAGATGTAGAGTTCGCTATAGTGCGGAAAACGAGCAAACTTCAATCTAAGTTGTAGATTTTGATATAGGCTATTCTTCAAATAGTATTAGTGATCGCAGATGTAATTCCTTCTGTAGTATCAAGCTTTTCAAAGCCACATTGTTCAAAAAAAAATTTGTTCTTTTAGGATAATCTTTTATTCCTGATAGTAATGATACAGTTTCTTATTTTTTTAAAATGCCATAGAGCATGCATGACTGTTTACAAAAAAACGACATAGTAGGTACCGATAGGTTCAATTACTGAAACGATGAAGTGACAATAAATTTATAAACCTGTTCTAGAGCTATACTATCTAATTTTCAAGGAGATTATTGTTGTGTTAACTTTAGTAAATTTAGAATAATCAATTTAGTTTTTCTTTTTTTTTATTAAAAACCTTGCAAATCATAAGTTACATCTTATTGCTAGTACAAAGCAAAAAGAGATAATCAGTAAAAATTTTACAGTATACAATATCAGTTAGTAGCCACTATATGCAAAATGTTGAATGCGACAGTGATGCTAATGCGAGAACAAGGCTCATCTTATGTACTACTAAAAATAGTATTGAAAAGAAAAGCGTTTTTTTAATTTTACTAAATTGTTTCCTTTTTCAATTAATGGAAAATTTTTTTCAAATTTATGAAATGAAAACAAAAATGACTCGTATATTATTTAATGAAATGATTATATATTATTTCAACTTTGTCGACGTTTCTCAATGCACATGATAATTAAAAATCATTTTTTAATAAAATAAGCATTTCTCTCTATGTACCCGACCAAAAAAGAAAAAGACGAAAAACGAAAAACGAAAAACGGAAAAAGAATTTTTTTAAAATTTAATGCGAATGATTCACGATAATCATCAAATCAGCATAAAAAATTGTGGATATGTTATTAAAAATAAATGTCTGTGTAACAATTAAAATTTTTTCGGCGATTCGGAATGAGTATTAAAAATCATTTATAAATATAAATCAAACAAACAATTTTCTCAAATTTTGCGCCTAATTAAAAAAAGAATTTTGCCTGTGACATATTTTATGTCAAAGTTTTTAAGCTCCTTGTCGATGACTCACATGAGTCGAACAACATGTTTTATCGTTACCAGAAAATAAAGAGAAAAGCCACACATACACTTCAACACTCAAGCATATATAAAGAATAAAGATAAATAATAGTGCGTGAAGACTCTCGAGGATTAATCAGTTTATCAGCATGTGAGTCGTCGGATTGATAAAAGTAGATTAGCAGTAGTGTCAAACTTGAAACTTGAATTCAGTTGAAAATAGAAACTTTCAACTTTCAACTCATAGCGATATATGTGTGAGTCACGATTCTCACAAAATGCTATCGGCTTAAAAGTTGAAAATTGAAAATTTCAGTTTTCAATTGAATTCAAGTTTCAAGTTTGACATATATGACATGATGAGGCGTGCTTTTATGAGTCTTCCTTTTATACTCACACCCCCATCCTATATACAAACTTATAGTATGTCTTAAATCATTTTTTTCGGCTAGTGTATTAGGAAAAAAACGTTATTTTCGTTCAGTGGTTCTGCCAGGAACAAGACTAGTCGATTATGATCGATGAAAATATGATATACGTACAGTTGATGGATGACTTATAAGAATTGTATTATTTATTAGCGAGTTACTTCTTCATTTATGTTCATTGTTTACAATTCGATTTGAGTGCATGGCTTTGTATTTTAACTTATTGTAGAATTTTTTGATGATGATTGTGTATTTGTTGTTGGTCTTTGTACAATATTAGTCGATGATGTTAATGATGTTTGTTATAAATTATATATTCTACTTATCCATTGATTATCGAAGGTGAGTAAATGCGTTTGTTCGTTGTTCTTCATATGATTTTTCAAATAAGTTAAAACTAATATGTTTCCAATTTTATTATAATAGTAAACATGGACGATTTACCATTTCTTGTGATTGTAAATTTTTACCAACAGATAAATACCGTTCACAATTTAATATATTTCTTTTTAAATTTCGCTCTATTTATTCTTGACATCCGATCTTGTTTATGATTTTAGTACAATTTTTTCGAACGCTTACGAAAGAAAAAAATCACGATAGCATATAGAGAATAGAATACAAAGAACAGAAAACAAACAAACTGAGCAGGTAGTGATGATGAATTTATTGAAACTATACACGGGAAGAAAAAAGAAACTTCTGCAACATGATTTACGTTAGGTGTGGATGTGGGTGTGAGTGTAAAGTATTGAAGACAAACACTAATATCCACCCACACCCACACCCTCACCCATTTACTGCCGTATACGAAGCGTATCGTACAATCTGTGTAGGGTTTACCCGAATCCATCGAACTCGCAGTAATCATTATTTCCTACCTGGGCTATAAAGAAAATGTTTACAGATGATACAGAAAACGTGTTTGTGGCGTACATACAGAACGCGTGCAACCAACGCTTACCTCCTCCTAGACATCTAAGGTGAGCCATGAGAAAGAGGAAGAAGTAGATGCCGATAGTCACCATTGTGTATACTTTATATAAACTTTATTGGCTCTTTTTTATTGGCCTCTCTATGAATCAATGTTGGAAAATTGCTGTATAACCGTCTGCGTCATTTACTTCCATTCTTACATAACTTCGATTTCACATTTCGAGTAATTCAAGCAGTTATATCGATCATAGAAATTAGATTTCTCAAGTTGTTTTCTTCATGTCGCGTCACATTTTTAACGATTCCTATGAACCATCTCGTCGTCGTGTAACTCTTCAATCGCATCAACCATCGGATAGTTCATCTCGACGAAATATGCCTCCAACATTAAGAGACTTCGCTTCTCACTCCAATGGATTCCCAAATTCAACAAGATTATCATACAATCGTATGAACGTAAGTCAGAGATTCATGGTGAAAAAAAGATCATTTTCAATATTTAAATGATTAGAATGTTTATGACGATCCACCAGGTCGACGATATCGATTAGAAACGCCTTCTATGGGCCTCCTTGTACGCCCTCCTCAATCGTATGGTGCTGACCATCAGGATCATTCTCATTCATCTAATCGTCATTATTTCAATAGTCAACAAACATCAACAGGCTATTCCTCACCTTCTCAATTGTATCCTCATGATCGAAGACGTCATAGAGAAGAAACGCATTACCCTCAATCCTACGCACAACATTCGTAAATAAAAGTCAATTTTTGTCAATTCTGTCATTTTTGGTATTTTCTAGCAGTCATCGAGCCGCCAACAGTCTATTAGAACATCAACACTTAAATGCTGTTAGATCGTCTGATCCAGCTTCTATTCTTAATAACGTTCTACAGTTCGTATTTCAATGGATGTTTCTTTTGCATAAAATTACTTCTGTTTTAGAACTTTTTTTGGCGAACGTAATCCACCATTCCGCAATAATGACGTTGCTCGTTTAACTGTAGATCCAATGAGTTTATTTGCAGCTGCATTAATAATGGAAAGACCTGATACTTTTACTGCTCCTGGTGCTTTTCATATTCACTTTGGCGTAAGTTCTTTATTTGAATCTATATCTCATTGATTAGATTCCTTTAAGGACCTATTTGATTTACTTCCTCGTGGTGAACCACCTTCTGTTGGTCTAAGCGGAAATGATATCGAGCGTTTACCTACGATGACCTATCGGAAAACGAGTAAATCGAGCTCGACTGACGAAAAATGTGCAATTTGTTTAAGTGAATATAAAAATGGTGAAACTGTCAAACGTTTACGATGTAAACATTTCTTTCATCCCGAATGTATTGATCCATGGCTAAAGGTATATGATGAAGAAATTGCTCTTGTAATTGAGTTTGATTTGTCTTTTTCTAGACGTCAACGCAATGCCCAATCTGTCGTGGTCAACAAACTGATTAATTGGAAATTTTCATATATTGGATCAGTCATCAATATATGATGGACTGCTTTTTATTTTAATTTTTGTAAATGATTGTCGATTAACTAATTGTGTTTTAGTCAAAAGTAACCGGAATTTTTTCTTTTAAAAAAGTTATTTACAATCAAGAATCAAATGTTCATCGGGAAGTTCTATTTAATTAGTAGTTTCTCTGAGATTTCATACGATTTTTCATTGATTGGTTGATGAGTTTTCCTTTTAAATACACCCGAATAAGTGCCTTGACCCAAAAAATGGATGATATTATCTAACTATCGATCGTTGAAATCAGCAGAAACAATCAAACTAACACGTTCTATATCAATTTTCTGGTCTCCATCACCAAATAAGAAAGATATTTAAGTAATAATAGTATCCTTAAATAATCTTCCAGATATGATAGTGATCAACTTGATGCTCATTGTTGTTACTAAGAACAGTAAACCAGGGTGTTTGCCAGTGGACTTTCTTCTCTTCTTTTACACTCACATCAATTATCTGTAGATGAAAAGAGTTTTATGAATATCTCTACTCGAATTGATCAGCAATTCCGTCTCATATACGACGAATATGCACTGTTTGGTAAACTCTATTGCTATGAATTCCCCCTGATATAGTAAATATTTAATAGCATGGATGACTATGGGTGTGTGTGAGCGTGGCTGTCAGTGTCATTGCGGGTGTCGTCGAAGAGAAAATTGACCCATGCCCACATCCACACCCTAAACTTATGTTTTTGGTTTGTTTTTATTAAGAATTAGATTATATATATGCGGAGCAACGTTAAAATTTCATTGCTTAGCATTACCATGTCTTCGTTGTTCTATCAATTAGAATATTTGACAATGAGCTGGATTAAAAATCTTGGCTTTGATGCCCTCGTAGGATTTCTTAAGAAACCGAATTCATCACTAGAGTGCGCACAGTAGATATAGAGATATGGATATAGGAGGTATTGGAGATTTGGAATTTCAGATTTTAACAGGAAGCCAAACGAACTATAAAGACTAGTGGAAGCAACTCCCTACCACACACCCACACCCTGCTTTCAGACAACCATACACATTATTTAGCGAGCTACCAGAAAATTACAGTATTTTTGATGCACTTCAGTTAATGGGTTATCTTGGTATCGAATCATTTCCTTCACCTATGTTAAAAGACAGATCTTTAGTGTTGTATAATCCAATTGAAATTAATAATAATGCTGAAAACGTATTGTGCATCGCAAGACGAATTTGTCTGATACACGACAGACAGCTACAGAATTCATCGTAGCTCTTGCTAAAAATGAATACAACCTAAATGATCTTAATATAACAAATGATACTTTTCGTTTGATCAAAATTATTGTCTTCAGTCGAGCTATTTGTAGTCAGCGGTTTCGTCATCATACAATAATAGTAGCAAGACGATGTAGTTACTCATTCTCTTTTGAAACAAAACAACGCTTGCTAAATGTCGTAAGCATGATAGCGTAATATATAACCACAGTAATTATTTCTTTTATCTTCGTAATTATAATACGTTCGCTTGGAGAGATGATTATGTGTCGACAGGAGGTAGCTGCAGCAATTCTTTGTAAGCAAACTCAGAATCACAATGGCTATCGTAGTTTCAAGTAATTCTCTTTCCTGAATGATGGTTAGATTTTTATTTATTGTAAAACTTTTGACCTTTCGATGCAAAGAGGTGTTCTTCCTCAAATAATACAAAACGGTGAAAGTCTACTTAAAATTATAAAATGTGTCTTTTTCATTTTCTCTCTTTCTTCTCTTCGTTATCTTTTGTTTGAATAGCATACAATACTGACACGAACAAGGCGGTATAACTAGTAAGGAAAGTTTAGCTTTCATTTTCGTCCGTATCACCGCTATTAGGGTGTGATTTATGAGTATCGGATATGGGTGTTGGATGCATTGATGTAGAACATGGACGAAGAGAGTACGAGCGCTCACACCCTAATTTTATTACTGATTTATTCTTGCATTTTGAATAAAAAAATAAGCGACAAGCAATAAACACGAAGATAAAGAAAAGGAAACAAATGGACAAATCAATTGACAATAACGCTCGTCAAACAAAAGAATATCATTGAAACGTTTGTAGAAAGAATTAATCTTATCGCCGAAATTGAACAAGATAACGAAGTGCTATTTGTGATTCATCAAAGACAATATACTCATTGTATTCACATCCATGATAACCATGTTTCGGATTTGTACAGTTAATCAATGGACCTAATGGCATTTGAACACCTGAAATATTATTTTATATCTTAGACCTATCTAGAGAAAATCTTAAGAATAAAAAACAAACCATTTTTTCGAGTGACAGTGTATTGAGGATCCGGTATTTTACGACCATTAGCTTTGCGACTTTGGTGTATTTTAAAATCCAATGACTGATTTAAATATACACTGTCGTTATCTGCTTCTTGCGAATTACCTAATGCCACTTCACAAAGGAGCATAAAACAACGCTCATTATTATCTTGTCTAACACCCGAACAATACCCAAGACTCTTTGCAAAAGCATCAGCTGTATAGATTCCCTAAGCAAAGAAACAAACATTTATTTCGAACTTATAGCAAATATTCGATAATCAATAACCTTGCCAAATAAACTTCCAGTAGCTGTGGCACACAAAGGTCCGACTAAGAGTCCTAAAAAAGCAGACGATCTTTTTCATATATATTTTTCAAGAGTAATCCGCACCTCGTGTAAGTATACTAATCAAATTGCAAATGTTAGTTCCATGCCATAACAAATAATGATTCTCAAGATTCTGTTGAAACAAATGTTCATCATCATTAGGCCGAGCTACTTTAAATATTTGTTCTACATTAATATGCGATGCACTGGTCCAAATATAGCGTAATATTAATTGTGAATCAATATCATTTGCGTTCATCGCTTCAAATTGACAATTGATTGATTTGTATAGATAGTCTAATGGTGATATTTGATTTAAATTAGCCTGAGCCGCCAAAAGAATCTTACAGGATAATTCTAATTCAACTAGATCATCAAGTTTTTGTTCTTGTTCTTTTACAGCTTGTTCACTATCAATCATAGGTAGTCTTTCGTTGCCGTAACCTTGCAAGGGTATCATAGTATAATATTCATTAGTCAGCTTACAAATAGAATCGAGAAGACATTTGAATTCACTTTTTTGAACATCATTATTGGATTCGTGAGTTTTTGACTCGACGTTTTCGTTTTTTTCAGTACATTGGACTTGTTGAATTGCCAATTTAAGTTTTTCTTTTTGTTCAATATCTGTCTTTAATTGTACCAGTATATCACGTGCTTTTTGTAGAGTTTCAGGTCTTAGCTGAGAAATAGGCATCCATTCGACATCTAGTTGAGTGTTTTGTAGATTTGTTCGAATAGCTTGAGGATTAAGAAACGTCTTGAAGAAATTTTTATAAACCGATGATTGCAATTTTGATGGTGGATGTTGATTATCATCTTGTAATTGTTGAAAATCAATTGGAACATTCGTATATTTGTGCATTCGACGTTCATTTAATTTGATTAATGTATATTTCTTCGGTTTATTTTGAAATTGATCAGTATTTTCCCACGAGTTACCAGTTTTTTGACGAAAAACTTTACAAAATTCTTTCGCACATTCATCTAATGATGAAAAAGGTGTCAATTGATGTTGTCCATCGCCATCTCCGATTCGTCCCCAACGTGTAAATAGAAGATAAAGATTTGTTTTACTTTTATGTTTAATAATTTGCATTCGATAAAAATTATACAAACCAATGAGACCATAATCTACATCAGTTATAGTCAAACGAACATCATAAGGTTCGTTCTTTTCTGTATCCATTACTATTTCTCCTGTTTGAACCATATCAGATAATGGATCGACTTGATAAGCAGTGCGAAGATCTGTTGACGCATGAGTGGAAACGTATTGATCGATGAATTCTTGAGCACCGGAATAATAATCTGGTATGCCGAGAAGTTTCCTATTTGGATCATTGACATAAAAACGTTCAATTTCTACTTGAGGTAAATCTGCTTGCTGTTTACTCATTAATTCTGTTAATTTATCAAATAAATGTCGGCAACCATTGATAGCACTATAGTGCAATGGTGATAGACCAGCTAAATCATATTGCGTTAATGACGCACCGGAGCAATGAAGTAATTCCAATAATTTGATGTTATTCATATAAGAACCACCAGGAAATGGTTGAACTAGATGATGAATACATGTGTAACCGAGTGCATCACTAGCATTAATGTCAATCATCGATGTCACAGTGAACGTATTAGATATATTTAGAGTTTCAGTATCGTCAGAAATATCATCATCAGAATCGTCATGATCGCATGTTGAAGCAGTTGTAACGCCGAGAAAGAATCCTTTTGATTTCGGTTCTTTTACGTTTTTCCTTGACCGCATAAGATGTGTATCTTTTTGCCATTGATTATCATCTGTGAGTATATAAAGTCTATTAAGAAGTAGCTTGACCATATGAATGTTGTTCTAGAAAGAAGCAAAAAAATACAGTTAATTACTGTATTTAGCTTTAATATTTTCTACCTGACGAACAGCATGCATCAATGGTGTTCGTTTTTCTTCATCGGGAAAGTTTACATCCGCACCAAGTTCAAGTAAAAATTTCGCCAATTCAAAATGATTATGAACAATAGCATTTATCAAAGGTGACGATCGCACCTTGGCCGAACTATGTTCAGATGTCACAGGTGGATATAGACTAATATTTCCCGATGATGAATTGATACGGCCAAACGATAGAGGATTCATTGCTTTTTCATTGTCATAATTACATAAGCAATCGAGTGATTTGCCAGAAGGAATTAAGTTTTGAAGGAATTGCTTGTCAATTGAACTTTTCGTAGCTGAAAACCAAAATAATAAACTATAAGCTGTATTACCAAATGAATCCGTTTGATTAAAATCCAATTCATTTGAATATTTCTTTTGTAAGAAATTAATCAATGGTATGTTTTGTATTGCACAAGCATAGTGCAATGGATATGATCCATATTTATCGGGCACATTCCAATCGACATGATTAATATGAAGATAATTTAAAAATTTCTCTAGAAATTGCATATCGTGTTGTTCAATATTGGCTATTATATGAAATAAATTTCGGCCATGAGAATTTTTTTCGCCTAAAGCAGTTCGATTTTTTACACTTGATGTAAGACGAAGGACAAGATTAAGTCTACCATTGAAAATAGCTGCTTCAAACACTTGAATATATCTCAGATGAAAGCGATCAAGTTCATCGAGAATTAAGGATAATGCTCCTTGCCAATTACGTTGAATTATTAAATGAATCAATGAATATTGTTCATCAGGTTTAGTCGTCGAAATGATTGCAAATTTCCATATCCAGCCTTCGTTATCCTCTGGTGTTTTCGACAATTCAATCGATGCATTGCCACCTGATTTCGTATATAATCTACTCAAATCGATATCGACTGGTTGATGAAGAAATGTAATCAGAAGATTCAAATGATTCGATACAATACAACTAGTAATAACAGAATTGGATAGATTATTTTCGATTAATAAACTCGCATGATGTTTTAATAAAAGCATTACACAAACAGTCGACGCTTTTATAACAGCGAGATGTAATGGAGTATTTCCTTCGTTATTTTTCGTATCTAATGAATTGTATTTCATTGCTTGAACGATTAAAAGACACAATTCTACAGGATCACCTCCACTCCTATTGACTAAAAAGACATTGTGCAATGGGAGATTTCCAAGATTATCTTTCATTAATAAACTACATTCATTATCAATCAATGTTTGTTCAATATCATTAACAGTATCGACTGTACCTAAATTATGATAAACAGCAATATGCAATGGCGTACGACTTGATTTGCCTGGACTGCTCAGTGTATCGTTACCAATTAATTTCAATTTTTCAATAAATAAATGAAAGATTTCTAAATATTCATCAGAACGTATTGAAACAGCCAGATAATAATGTAAGGCTTGATTGTGTTGATTATCATAAGCAAGAAGATCACATTTAGAATGGTTTAATAAATCGCGTACAATTGGCAAGAATTGAAGTTTACAAGCGAGAATCAATGGAGTTTGCTGACCTTCCGATGGATTTGTTGATGTAGCTAAATTGATATCACACGATGAGTGACCCATAAGCATACTCACTGTTTTATATTCTCTAAGATGAATTGCTTCTAACAATGGCGTTCGTCGCGTCTCATGATGCGGAACATTGACATTTTTCGTTTTCTTTAAGAAAATTTCTAATGGATGTTCAAACTTTTCATCAAAAGTACGTAAAAGATAGAAAATACTCGTTTCTTCAATATTTTCAAAAGCCTCTGCAGTTACGGTAACATTCTCATTAGATTCATCGTCTGTTGTCTGCGAAGGCGGCATAGTTTTGTCCTCGATTGATTTTATTTCAAAATCGGGATCACTGTCGATCGTTTCAAGACAATATCGAATCATGTTAACGATCGAATTATATTGCTGTTGTACAGCAACTACTCCATACGATCGATTTCCTTTACAAAATTCATCATACCGTGAAATACAATAATGAAATGGTGTTCGACCTTGATTATCAAGCATTTTACTCATTTTTCTAAATTCGTCAGTAACAGGCAAACTAATCAATGTTTGAATAAGTTCGTCATTGTCACAATTAATAGCAAAATAATGTAATAACGTTTTTCCATCACGATTAACATCTGAATTCAATTCCAGTTTAGCTTCGTTAATGAAAAAATCAACGAGAATAAAATTTTTAGATTCAAGTGCAAGCATCAATGAAGTTTGAGCTTTATTATCCATTTGAAGAGGATTACAATTATGATCAAGTAAAATTTGTGCCATTCGAAAGTAATTTTTTTTCAAATTTTGCTGCTCTTTTTGATTTGAACTACTTGATGTTTGTTCACTTTGATTCAATGCTAAATAATGAAAAGCATTTCTTCCATTGATATCAACGCATGTACAATCAGCTCTATGTTTTACAACAACATATTCTAATTGTTGTACAGCTGATGCTGAAATTTCTAAATCAGCAGTAATCATGACTAATGTTAAACCATCGTCAGTTTTAAAATTAACATCTGCTCGATGTTCTGTCAGAAGATAATCACAAATTCCATAATGTCCTTTAGAGAAACCTACGCCGAGACATGTTGTTTGCCAACAATTGACACAATTTATATTTGCTCCTGCTTCAATTAACAATCGAACACAGAAATACCATCCGTATGCAATAGCATAATGTAAAGCCGTGTTTGAAGATGAATCGAAAACATTTGCATTGGCTCCTATGCGAAGTAAATGTGACACAATATGTGCATTTCCATACATACAAGCATGAATTAATGGTGTACGTTTAAACCGATCACGTGCTTCGACTTTAGCTCCTTGTTCAACCAGATGAAGCACAATGGGCAAAAATCCCTTTTGACATGCCAACATCAATGGCGTTAACTTTTCAGTAGATATGGTTGTAAACCCATCAATACGCGCACCGAATTCCAAGAGTACTTTTACACAGTCCTAAAAAATAGAGATTTTAATTAGTTAGATAATCAACGAAAACAAAATCATGGCTGACTAAATGATTATTTAAAACAGCTAAATGAAGAGGATAGTATCGCGATTTGTTCATTTGATTAATCGATGCAAGGCCAAATTTTTCATATACCGCTTGATCATCTGTATCATTTGATTCTGATTTTTCTTTTGCTGCACGTAATAATACTTGTGCATTTATAGGTCGACCATTTGTTACAGCTATATGCAATGGTGAATTACCACCATTATCGACATCATTTATATTGGCATTTCTAGGGATGGAAGGCAAAGAATGCAAAATTCTAAAAAGTCTCAGCTGTTGTTTTTTACCTAGATAAAAGATATTCTAATGGTTCTGGTCCTTCACAAGCTGCCGCGAAATGAATTGGTCGTCGTTCATACTTATCCTTAATATTATGCTCAGGTACAATTGACAGTAGTTGCTTTAAATATTTGGGATTCGGATTAATAGCAGCGCAATGAATAGGTGTTATCTAAAACTTTCTTCAGAATTATTTTGAAAGGACAAACAGCCGAAGTCTTACTTGAGCATTGTTGTTTATTTTTTCAATAACATCACAAGCGCTATCGACAGTTAAATCTTCTTCATCAAAACGAAGAACCTATAAAAAGAACCATTAATACTTTCGAATTTCGGAATATCTCGATTTACTTCATGAAAGAGTTTTTTAAAACCATAATAACTCATATCTGTCATACTATCGATAATGCGAACAGCAAATTTTCGATGGCCAGCTTGAATACATTCGAAGATATTATTATAGAAATTGGAAGACTAAACAGGACAAAGTTGTTTTCAATAGATATCGATGAAAGATTGTTTTTATTACATTAAAATTTTCACAAAGTAAATCATAAACTTCACGCGAACAATTGTTTTTTATTGCATACACAATGATTTCATTCGTTTCATAACAATGGATTACTTCGTTTGTATCCTAAACCAAATTTATTAAAGAATTTTAATACTTAATATCAATCGTATACTTTAATTAATGCATTGTTGCCTTCACGTGCTCCACGACTGGCCATAATTGCAGCTGTTCGAAAGCCCAATGTACGAATACTTGCTCTAGAGCAATATAAATATAGACTTGTTTTGTTCGTATTCAAATTTTACTTACTTTCCTGTACTTTGCTTTTTCAAGGTCACATCTGGAAACGGAGCTCGATTCTGTTTAGGCTTTTTTATATCTTCTAATAATATTCGAAGTAAATCAATATTGTCATTTTGAATAGCATAATGAATAGCTGATAAACTTTTTGAAAAATCACGTCTCATATGAACCTACGAAGATGTTCAATATTATTTTCAAAAATCTAATCATGCAATTCTATTCTACCGAGCAAACACGACCAACATCATCAATAAGACTTTTTAATAGTATTGGATCATTTAATAGTACCGCACGTATGGCTAATTTACTTTGGATACTAGATGATATAAATGGAACAGGTAAACTAAAAAAACAGATATTGATTCAATTCGTCGGCCTTCAATGTTTTGTTTTTACTTGTCTTCGAAAAATGGGTCAGTTTGGTATACCGTTACGATGAGATTTTCCTTAAGAAAACGATTACTCTGTACTTTGAATAATTGTGCTTTTGATATGGTGACAGGTTTTCCTGCTGAAAAATATGACATTGAACATCCGGTAAAAGATTTAGAATCAGACAAACTTGTTTTCTTTGATGCTGGCTTTTGTTTAACTACTTTTTTTTCTCCTTCGGCCACTTCATCAATATCTTTGGTTCGTCGTCGTTTTCGTACAGCTGAGAAAACAAAATTAACAATGAAGATAATCAATAAAAATAATAACTTACGAGCAGCTTCATCACTGGTGATTTTTCTTCGTTTTCTTGTCGGTTGTTTTCGATTATTATCTCTCGTTATATCCATCGATTCACCTTTGATTGATTTCTTCAATAACATATTTGTTTCGATAATATCTTGTTTTGTTAATGATATAGTTTTATCAGCATGACGAATAACATGTGAAATTTCAGTAAGAATTGTATGTGGATCAAGTTTATCTTCATAATCAAGTTTGAAACGTGTATTTTCATCAATTTCAGTTTCATTTTCATCGCCATCAACTAATGAACACCATCGAATACGAATTTGTTTTGTATGATGGTGCACATCTTGAAGAACTTGACAGAGAAAAAATGAGTCAACAGGGCTTCGACATGTTATAAAAGTTTTATTTGAATAAAGACGTGTCGTCTGAAGATCAATTGAAGAAATAGATGATGATGATGATGATGATGATGATGATAAAGAGGTTGAAACTAATCGTTTTTGGTTTTTCCTATGAGTTACACTTTCCGATTTCGATAACGAATCATCATCTCGATCGTGATGACTTTGATTGAATGTAAGTTGATTAATATGACGATTACCTGGAGTAATCTAATAAATATAAAACAAGATAGTTTTTCCCTACATGATAACGCGCTCTGTGAAAAAACAGAAATTTGCCAAGACAAAAACAAACTTACATTCCAATAGTTCCCATTCAATCCTGTATGCATTTGTGTTTTTCCACTGTCATCGCTTGTTTTTGATTGATTGCTTTTCTGAAACAATTAATTCTATTCGTGTTCATTGGCATAAAATGTGTTTACTCGTTTTGTATAATTAGTAGTTTTTCGATGATTCCTTTTTGTAGATGATATTGCCGGTGCTTGTTTTATTTTCTTTTTTTCTGATGATGATTGTAGATCATTTTCCGGCACCTGAAATAAAATTATTTCTTTTTCTTTTGCTTCTATTAAAAAATGAAATACATCATCGATTTTTAATTTGGATGATTTGCTTCTCAATAGACTTCGCCTCTGATTTGTTGAATCACCTGTGTCCATAATCAATCTATGATATAAGGAAAGAAATATTATTATTTAATATCTGATGAAAATATAATTCAAAAAGGCAACTCATTGTAAAGTTCCATGAATGAGTTTTTCTTTTTCTGAAAAAAACGCCAATAATATAAATATACAAGAGAAGAATAGAAGTTTATATAGAAACGAAGTACAAAACAGAACAGTAAAAGAAACCGTTGTTTCACAAGTATGGTGAAATTTTTATTTTCTCTCGTTTGATAAGATTTTTTTGGTGTGCGGTTAACGTGCGTGTTTACACATGGACATGTGTCCTTGTCGACATGGCTGAAGTTCTTATTGGATTGTATGCTGCCTTTTTCATGCGACACTATTGCGTGTAGGAATGCACTAGTGCCAGTATTATGCTGGTCTACTGATTCAGTAAATACTGGTTTTCTACTTTCGAAAATAACTATTAGCTAATTGAGTAATTTTCTCAGCCATCAACTTCTTTTGTCTATATTCAAGTAAAAAATTGAGTTTTGCAGCAGTTTGAAACAGTATAAGATATTGTATACTCAACTAGCTGATAACGTTTTATAGGACTTTTTTCTATAGTTCTCAAGGTTTTTGAAGAAAACAAATTTCATTCATGGACTTAGTCCGATAGTAAAACAATCTTATCAGATAAACCGATGAATCGGAATACTATGTTTAACATACTCACTTGAATTTAGGTTAAATCGATCAAGAATAAAAAACATGGATATTTAGTGAACTTTATCAACCTTTAGTTAGATAAATCTCATATAAGTAAATGGCTCGATTTTTCTACTTCTCTCGCAGTCGAATGACGCTATTTTCACATATCTATTGAATTAGTTTGTGTATAAATAAAGTTACATAGCTAAAGCTAGAGCTTTTTTGTTCACGATATCGGATGTGAAACAGACAATACACATATTAAATGAAAATTACAGCACGGTAAACAAGCAATGTCACTATTATTTGTTCAATTTTCTACCGATATCAATAATTTAATCGAATCTTTTAACTTATATGATCAAAAATAGTGTCACTATTTCTTTATCGTTTTGAACTTATACTTACAAGTTGAACCTGACACGTCAATATAGTAGTTTTATTAGTATTGAATAAAATCAGTGCATAAATTGCCCTCGTATCAATAGTATTTTCTTATTTAATACTAATACGAGTGACAATTGTCATTGTTTATAACATATACATTTATTGTTTTATCGGTTGACTGACTTGTAGTGCCATAAAGTATGATCAATATAGATTCTCGAGCACAATTTCTTTTTTACTATCACAATGACCTGAATGAATGATCTTTTTTTCTACAAAAACGTTGAAAACTATTGAAAAATTTCAAGCAAGAGTTCATTAGGAATTCCTTCAAGTTGGAGTAGATTTGACGATAAATTGTCGCTCATGGTATCAAATTCGTTCTTGCAATGATCACCTAACATTGAGCAATATCACTTCTTATGAGTATGAGTTTATGCCACTTTTTGAAAATTGCTAAAAAAAGAAATAACTACACTATAGGAAATACGTAATTATATATTGACTCATATTTTCTTTCTGCACAAAAAAAAATTGCTACTAGCATGCACCCGATGCATACATACCAGCTTTCCACTAAACACGACAAGTAAAAACTATGTATAAAATGTTACAGTTGACATGAGAATCTAGTTGAGATTGGAATAATAGATTTAATTAAAGATAGAGAAAATAGACATAAAAGAGAGCGAAGCAACGAAAAGAAAAGAAGAGAAGAATTTCGAAAATCAAAATGTAAATAAAATTATATGAACGATATGGAAATTTTTTTCTACGACTTAGATTTAGTAAACTATTTTCTAATTGATCATAATTTAGATTTCTTTTTTAAATTGGTGACCAAAACAAAAACAAAAAACTTTTATTTCTGATTTTTCATTTATCTCAACGCGCTCTCATCTCGCTTGTACGAGTCACACAGTAATTAATGTATCTTGCTGAACTGATACTTTAATATTGAAAGGAAATAAAATACTTCGCTGATTATGACACTAATGTTACATCATTAAATAAATACTTATTTATCCGAGTTTTACACTTTAAAAATTTAGTAGAATCTATTAATATCTAACTTTTTTGTCATCATTTCTTTATTAATTTAAGCTTTTATAATTGATAATCGTCACTATGAAGCAGACAATGATGAGACATAAATAACGAATTTTCTTTTATATAAGCTTATTTTTTTTTAACGAAGAACGATTGTAGCTAATAACACATCAAATGGAGTACTCATATAAGAAACTTCTTTATTAATTTCATAAAAAATTTAAAAAAAAATGTACTTTCCTGCCATATCATTCAATATAAAAACTTTTTCCATTCCCATCCCTCCTGCTCGAGACCCGTACTTCGAAATAACGATAGCGAAACTCTTTTTCTGTCTTTTCTTCGAATGCAGAACGAAAGAGAAAAATCAATATCTCTATGTCCCGCGTATTAAAACAAACATCTTTTCACAATCTTTCTCATTTCTCTCTCTTCAATCATGAAAGATTGGCACAATTAATCTTGGAAACAACAACGCGTTTTTTGAATCTACATAATCAATCAAACTATCTCATATCACTCACTAATAAAATTTTATTTCTATGAATCATTCTCTCATAACATTTATAGAATAATGAACAATTCCAATCTCAACTAGATTCTAAACTCTACTGCCACATATATATGTCAAAGTTTTTAAGCTCTTTGTCGATGACTCATACGAGTCGAACAACATGTTTTATCGTTACCAGAAAATGAAGAGAAAGCCCATACAAATACTTCAACACTCTAGCATAGCTATATAAAGAACAAAGATTAATAATAGTGAATGAAGATTCGGGAATTAATCAGTTTATCAGCATGCGAATCATCGGATTGATAAAAGCAGATTATAGACCTCAAAGTTTATTGTGTGGATATTATTTGAACAGTACCCAGGTTGATCAAAACCCAGGTGACCAAAAGACTAGTAAAAAGATTAGTCTTTTTTCTAGACAAGTCGGCCGTCCAGTCTAGTCTTTTTCTCAAAATGTCCTAGTACAGGACTAGTCTGAAATCTCGTATAGTCCATAGTGCCCGTCCGGACTATGAAAGTGACTGGAGTCATTCTATTTGTCATGCGTAGTC